TAAAAGCTCAAGACCAGGAAAAAATTCATATTAGGGTAGGAAGGTTGAATATAGATATTCAGGTCATAGGGTTTCTAGAGTTGTTAAATTTGGTTTTGCTCTTTCTTTTGGCCTAAGGGGGGGATTGTGACCAGCACTCTGATTTGTATTGTGCCTAACAAGAAACCTCTTCCAAAACGTGGAAGAACTTATTACCACCATTACCAAAATGGAAGCTGTTCCTTCCGTACATCTGCAACCTTCCTTTCCATGTTGTTACCGTTCAGGCCACTTCTCTCCCACATCGTCAAAAACTCCTGACACTGGCATAAAATGTAAGCAAGAAAATGCACTTTGGCTTGTTTCCATCTTGTGGAGTGTGCTCAGACTCTGACTCCTGCAAGTCTGGGTTCAAACTGGCTCTGTGACTTCCTACTAAAGTGTCCTCACTAGGTAGACAAGAGGTTTTATCCCTGTACATATGCCTAGGTTTCCTCATCTGCAAAATGAGTTTTGTCATTCTATTTGACAAAACTGCTGTGAGATTTAAGAGATTATATAAGATACAAAATACCTGACACGTGGTAGATGCTCAAAAAAAAAAAAAACAAAAAAAACTGCTGTTGTTAGTTCTGGAAACAGATCATATACAGCAAACCCATCCTGTGACTGCTGTCAGCCCAATATTGCATGTCTGATCTTTGAATAGTTATTTTTCAAGTCAACAGTAATTATAAGGTATCTGCTTAGAAATATTGGGAGAAAAAATGAGATGACGTGGCACTTAATATCTAAGTGCTGAGTAGATGGTACCTATCAATCTGTTTCTGTGCTATGGTGTCTTTGGAAATTTTTTGTGTTAGGTAATAATATGAGACTATATAAACCAATCAGAATTTAAGGGGTCAGGATGGTCGTTCTAGAGAATACGAAGTCTGTTCTCATGGCTGCCCCATCACGCTCTTCATATAAAACATTCCACAGAGGCTCTCTCTGAGTCGTTGTGTGACAAGAAATAGACCAAGATGCTCATTATTGGTCATCCCATCAACCGTGTAGATGAACTTAAAAAGTTAAATTCCATTTTTCAGTTTACAAAGACCCTTGGCCATAATGTTGGCAAAACTAAAAAGTGCCACGACTATTTTGACCTTATTTTCTCTTTGTAGTCACGTGCAACTGTCAGGCCGCACTGCACATCAGGTCAGCCACATCGAGTTCATTCTGAGCATCTGTGTGGGAAATACCTTGGCTTGTTTCCCTCAGGTCAGAGTAGTTATAACTTAGGGGGTAAAATTGTCTCTGCACAGGCATTGGTGCAGGAACCCTGTTCCCTCATGATCAGGGTCATTAATTTGGACCCATATGTCTAAGCTTTTAGGATTCATCTTTGGGAGAAATGCCTGGAAGTTAGTACATCCCGACTGTGTGAAGCCGTATCCCCCTCCCTTTGTCTCTGCCTCGCCCAGCAGCCGTCTCTCTCTTCGTATCCCCTTTCCTCCTTCCTTCCTCTCCTCGTCTTCGTATTGCTCAGTCAGGTAATGCAACTTTATTATCAGTCAGTCTCAGGTTGAGTAAAGAAAAACATATTTAAAGAAATTTGTTTTCCTATAGGAATATAAGTTATTTCAATATATGCTGTTCTTGAGTCACATTTTTGGGTGATTGACAACTTGAAGCCATTACAGAACACCAATCAAGGGATTAGTGCTAATAATTCATTCCTTGTGCACTGGGTACAAGTCATGCTAGTTTCCTCCTGTAGTTAATCTCTGAAAGTTAAATATGCTGCTTTATGGCTAAAACTTGGCTCAAGAAAAAGCACTTAAACTGTTTTTAAGGGTAGTCATTAATTTGATTAGTGAAAAGTCCATAGTGGCTTCATGGTATTTCTTCCTACTCTCTTGAATGTGGGTTCTTTGGAATTGTTTTCCAAGCAGAGTTTTCATTTCTTGTTCCAATGGGAAGATAGTAGCTTCTTTCAATGGAAACTATTAAAATGGGTTATTGATGACTGGCATCTATAAAAGATCTGAGCACATTGTAATTTACTGAAGAGTCAGGTTTTGGCATTTATCATGTGTCAGTAAAGGTATTCCAGTATCTCGATCCTGACAAGATATGGGGTGCCTGGGTGGCTTAGTCGGTTAAGCGTCCGACTTTCGCTTAGGTCATGATCTTGCGGTTTGTGGGTTCGAGCCCCGCGTCGGGCTCTGTGCTGACTGCCAGCTCAGAGCCTGGAGCCTGTTTCAGATTCTGTGCCTCCCTCTCTCTCTGACCCTCCCCTGCTCACGCTGTTTCTCTCTCCTAGAAATAAATAAAAAATAAAAAATTTAAAAAAAATTTAAAAAATTAAGGTAATTAGGTAAAATTGCACATCGAGCAAACTGAATCGTAGGCACAGAAGGATAAGTGGGTGGGCAAAGGGGAAAGTCATGTTGATTGAGAGAGACTATATTCAGAATGAAGCCAAACACCAGTGAACTAAAACTGTTAGCGTTTAGTCATTGACCATTTTGTAGATGAGTCTGCCTTGAGTATTCTGTTTGTCAGGGTGTTAGGAATAAAGTCTGACAGGGGAGCTCTTTAAGAATATTGCTGCTGGGAGAGAGAACTAATGTCTGTTACAGAAAAACTCAGGTTTTTGAAATGTTTGGTAGCAGACACTTGACCTTCATTAGTCACTGGCTGCTTTGTGATAAGCTGAGCAGAGCGCACGCCAAGTCCAAACAGATGTGGACCCTTTGTCTTAAGCAGATCGCCTCACCTCTCTGATGACAGTTTCTCATCTGTAGGTTGGTAATTACTTAGATTTCACTTGCCTCGCTCAGCAGTCAGCATCAGTGCGCGTGTGTCCCCCTCCCCAGCACCCCAGCAGGCCTGCTGCCCTGCCTGCAAGGCTTCGTCACTATGACCTGTCTTAATGGGGTCACATAGTTTGCTGCTTACTTCTTCAGACTTCATTTTGCAAATAATGCAGGAACATCAGAAATTCTGTGAATCACTTTCATATCACACGACTGCGTGTACGGTATATTTCAGAGATGACACTGCGTACTTTGAATGGTGATAGTATCAAGGTTATTTTCTGACCAGCCATTCATTTATACTCATTGTTTGTTGTACAGACCTTGTACTTTCTTGATAACTCTATTAAACTCTTTTTGCTTCCTTCCCTTTTTCAATGCTAAGCTCAAGTACTTCCTTCTTTAAGCCTTCTGGTAACATTGACATCTACCTCCTCTGAAGGTATAGCTTTAGCGATGCTACTGTTAATTAGAATATGACTGTGTGACCTTTGTCCTTACCATTATTTTGCATTGTTGTTTAACTCTTAAGTATTTAGAACTCAACTAGCTTTTCATACTGTTGGATAGAGCTCGATGTTGTAAATACTTTTTTTGAAGTTTCTTCATTTATTTTGAGAGGGAGAGAAAGGGAGGGAGGACAAAAGAGAGAGGGAGAGAGAGACTCTAACCAGGCTTCGCACACGAACCCTGAGATCATGACCTGAGCTGAAACCAAGAGTTGGACACTTAACCGATAGAGCCCCCCAGGCACCCCTGTTGTAAATCTTTAAACTCTCCCCCAGCGATGAGCAGGGTGCCTGGTCCATGGGGGACACCTAAGTTTTGTTCAGCCACCCATCTATTTGGCCTTCAAAAGACACATATTGTCTTCTTACCACACCCTGGTGCTTGGAACTGAGAAACTGAAGATAAAGAAGATATGGTATCATCTTTGCCTTCAAGTAGTACATAGCCTAGCGAGGGAGACAGACAAGCCCATGAAAAGTTACAGCATGTTATGAGTGCTAGAAGAGAATGATGCTCAGAGGAGGCAGTCAGGGACATTTTTATAGACTAGGGACATTTTTATAGATGTTTGAACTGTGTCTTAATAGAAAAGCAGAGTTTCTTGAGAAGTGACAATTAAAAGAGCATTTCTAAAAATTACTTGATATTTTCACTTTATGGATCACTGCTGTTATCCCAAGTATTATCACCGTCATAAAAAATTTAAAACATAATTTGTATGAACTTTATGTCCATAAACCAAAAACCATGTCTTGGCATTTCCTAAGACTGGGAATTCCAATAAACAGGACATCATATTTCAGAGACACTGGTCCTCAGTTGTATGTGATCTAACTTCGATTCCCCCAGAAGTCTCCTGACAGTCCCCGCAGCCTTTGTCTGCTCCTGCTGAGAGCCCGGGGACTGGAGGTTTCTATGAGTGCCAACTTACTCTGCAGAGGGCATCGGGGTCACGCTGGGCTGGACGCATTATGTTCCCCTTCATCCCCATAAATAAAAATGGATCATCCAAACGAAGACTCCTTAAAAATTGTTCTCAATACTTTAACCTTAAATGACTTTTTTTTAAATTGCATTATAAAGACCTCTAAATCATGATGAAAATATCAAGATACGTGTTTTTTTTTTCAAATGGCATTCATTACTACAGATAGCTCAAGTAAACGTATCTGCTCTTTCCTATTCTAATTCTGTTGGAACACAGTATCAAATTTGGGTCTACTGAACAGCAGTTCGGGGCTCTTACATGTAAAACTTATATGCCTCAAAGTTGGAGCTGTTTCTTCCCCTCACCACTTCCTAAATTCCGGAAATAATAAGGTTGTTTACATTTCAGTAATGAAGCTCAGATTTTAAATGTTTCTTGTGACGTGAATCAGTAATGCATACTGGAAGCTGACAAGCCTGGGTTCACCTTCTGGCTGTTAGGCATTGGGCGACTCTCCCATCTGGACGAATGTGAGCTCCTGCCTACTTCACAGGGTTGCTGTGATCCATCTGAGAGAACCTGAAAATTGTAGAATAGTCATTTAACACGGCTATTTGCTCTTTATATAAACAGCTCACAGTCTGGTGGTTACTGAATTTGATTGGCAAGAAGAAAGGACTTGAAAGAAGCAGCCTTTCTTTTTCAGTCAGAAACAAACAAACACATTGTTTACTAAAGGGACCAAATCCTAACAGTTTCTTTGTCCCTAATTTCAGTTTGTCCACAGTAGAAATTGAAAATCGAGCCCAAGCTCTTCATCTCTTTGAGACTTTGAAGACTGATCCTGAAGCCTTTCACAAGCACATGGTCAAGTATATTTACCCCACTATTGGTGGCTTTGATCACGAAAGGTTACTCTATTATTTCTCTCTTCTGGAAAGCTGTGGCTGTGCGGATTTGGGGAAATATGCCATTAAACCAGAAACGCACATTCGGCTGCTAAGGAAATTTAAGGTAGTTGCTGCAGGTAAGATACCCTTTCCTTGCTCGAACTCATTCTTTAAATCAAATCTAGGAATTAATTTTTTTGTGCACAGTCGTATTTGTGTGTTGTGTGACTGGCATAGATCAGAAATCCAGGATCCGATGCCAATTCACTTTAGTTATTATCTTTGCAACTCCTTTACTTACTGTTGAGGGAATTAAATACCAAAGAAACTATAAGAAACCTATTGACAGTCACTCAGTAACTTATCGTAGGCTTGGCACTGAGACCTAGAGTTTTTGACTAATCCTCCCGACGTCTGTCCCCTACTCCCAGTGGTTCTGTTCTGTCTACATAAAGGACAGGGCCGGGACACTTTCACCTTTGGCAGTTTAGCCAAACTTCACTTAACTGGAGCCTCTATGTTTCAAGGATGTGTGAAACCCTTAAAACAAGAGCTTGTGCACCTTATATAAATGGTGGCCATTTTTAGAATGGTATCCATGTCTCTCTAAGCTCGTAACTAACATCTTAAACACATTAATACCTTTCCAGTCTGTATCATACTCTATAATTTACAAGGCACTTTGAAATCTGTATTCAGTCGATACTTAAAACAATTGTGAGAATTTACCGCAGTCTGTCAGTGGTTTACCGAGTAACCAAATTAGAAGCTGGGCCAGATGCAGGAAAAGGAGCAAGATCCCATCCCTGCCTGTAGGTAGTTGATGGGATGGCAGGTGAACAATGGGGAAACATAATGCAGTGCGGTGAGCGCGCTGGTCGAAGGAAGCGTAGGTGCTGTGGAAGGATGGAAGGAGCCGGGGGATACGGCCCTCGCCAGTGTGCACACCAGGAAACCTGCGGTGCTCAGAAGTGGTGGCCTGGGAGGACCTCATGGCCGATCATCTCACAGCCTGGGACCGGAGCTCAGATCTTCTGACCTGTAATCAACAGAATATCTACTGTAAATTGGTAGATAAAATTTTCCCTTCAGCCATACAGAGGGCTGTGTTTATATTGGAATGAACCCATTCTCTGTTTTTTCTTTCTTTCCATTAGGTCTTAATTACAAAAAGCTGACAGATGAAAACATGAATCCTCTTGAAGCCCTGGAGCCAGTTCTTTCAAGTCAAAATATCTTATCTATTTCCAAACTTGTTCCCAAAATCCCCGCAAAGGATGGACGGATGCTCTCCCCGAGCTCTCTGTACACCATCTGGTTGCAGAAGCTGTTCTGGACTGGAGACCCTCACCTCATTAAACAAGTCCCAGAGTCCTCCCCCGAGTGGCTCCGCGCCTACGATGTCTGTGTGAAATACTTTGATCGCCTCCACCCGGGCGACCTCCTCACTGTGGTGGACGCCATTACATTTTCTCCGAAAGCTGTGACCAAGGTAACTGAAAAGATAGTTGAAAGTACATTGAATGTTTTAGAAGAGACCAGAATGGCTCTTACATCCCATAGATTGTTTTTATTTCCTTTCTTGAGATGGGGAATGCTTAACATGTTTGACGCTTTAGTTTTTTTCTAAGCATGAGATGGTCTCATTGGGAAATCGTTTTCTTCTATCACAGATGTGCAAGTAGTCTAAATCAGACTTGACTATTTCTAATTTGCATGTGCATTTTGTACATGTTACAGTACTCCTGTGTCACAGAGAATACACCATCCTATTCTTTCCAGTTGGGAATTGGAAAATGTGTCCAGTGCCCAGCCCACATTTCCTGCTTTCAGTATCAGGCTGGCAACTGAGTGGTGGTGAAATTGAGCCACCAAAAATGTTTGCATGAATACCATGTAGTAGATGACATGGTGATAGAATTATCCATGGAAGTCTATGTAGACTTTTTTTTTTTTTTACATTTTTTTAATGTTTACTTATTATTGAGACAGAAACAGCATGAGTGGGGGAGGGGCAGAGGGAGGGAGACACAGAATCCGAAGCAGTCTCCAGGCTCCGAGCTCTCAGCACAGAGTCCGACGTGGGGCTCGAACTCACAAACCTCGAGATCATGACCTGAGCCGAAGTCAGATGCTTAACCGACTGAGCCACCCAGGCGCTCCTCTATGTAGACGTTTTCTAATGTCTGCTCCATACTTAGGTCTGAACCCCTTTAACTGGACCCCCAATTTCTGCTCTGGATCCTTCAATAATACCTAGTTTGATACAGAGTAAATAACATGAGTCCTTCTTCTCTTTGTGCCCTTTCGGGGCCTTACTGTAAAACAAACTTCTCTCCGCCTGGCGGTGGGGCATGGCTTTCCTGAAAAATCCTCCCACCTCTGGTCTCAGCTGCTGAGCTCTCTTGCCTTTGGACCTTTTTCCTCATCTGCTTGCCTGTCTTTGCTGCTGCTCTCCCCGTTGGCAAGTCCACCCAGTACCCTATTACAGGTATTTTTAAACTTTTTTATTTAAAGTTTATTTATTTTGAGAGCGAGCGTGAGCAGGGGAGGGACAGGGGAGAAGGAGAGAGAGAATCCCAAGCTGTCAGCACAGAGCTTGATGCAGCGCTCCACTCCACGAACCACGAGATCAAGACCTGAGCAGAAAGTCAAGAGCTGGACACTTAACAACGGAGCCATGCAGGTGCCCCACTATTGCAAGTATTTTTTTTTCTTTTGGAAAAAGAGATATAGTTTTGGAGATACAGTCCTTTTTTTTTATATTACAAGTATTTTTCTTGTGGTTCATATTGTCCTCAAAATTAGTGTAAAGGCTAAGAATTCAGGTGATTCATTGGAGGTTGATACAGGTAGAGGGAATTCTAGTTCTAACTCACTTGTTAGATTCACAGTTGTGGATGGAACTAAGGACTTCATTACTTATTATTAGAACTCAAGCACTTTAGTTAATAACATGGTTTTAAATTTTACAAGCACTTCAGGGGCGCCGGGGTGGCTCAGTTGGCTAAGTGTCTGACTTTGGCTCAGGTCATGATTTCACAGTTCATGAATTCGAGCCCCATGTCGGGCTCTGAGCTGTGAGCTCAGAGCCTAGAGCCTGCTTCAGATTCTGTGTCTCCCTCTCTCTGCCCCTCCCCTGCTCACACTCAGTCTCTTTCTCTCTCAAAAATAAACGTTATAAAAAATAAAAATAATAAATTTTACAAGCACTGCTATGAAAAGGAAATGATTGTTTTTGTTGTTTCTAAGGAAGCAACTAAAAATGATAAAAGGAGATGGCCTCATATTTGAAGAGTACACGTTTCAAGTTCTTTGAACCTGGCTTTGAACTTTGCACATGCTACTTAATAGCTCTGTGGTTTAGCCTGAGTATTCTGGTAGACCTCTGCCTCCTTTTGGCTGAGTAATCTGTGGTTCAGATATATCATTACCCTCATTTTGACAGTCAAGGAAAGCGAGGCCTACAAAGTCAACTTGGTAACAGACGAGCCACAACCTTAAGTCTGGGAGGCTTTTTTCCATGGTCCTTGCTCTTAATCCCTGAACCATCCTGTATGTGAGGAGCCCTGGAGGCAGCAGCTAGAGTCAGGGGCCTGGAGCCAGTGTAGGAGCTGTGGGAGAGCAGGGCCCGGAGAGCCCCAGGGATGTTCAGTCCAAGTTGGGTAGCCTGTCGTGGGATGAGCCCAGAGCAGGGCCGAGTGTGAACAAAGAAGGCCAGGCAGTAACCTGGCAAATATGGGAAAAGGCAAGCGTCCAGCAAATGTGGGTTTCGAATCTCCCAGAGTGAGAAGAGGGTCAGAGTCCAAGTAAGTACTAGGAAGTAAGCCTCCAGGGAAGGGAAGGAACCAAGTGAGGAGTTGAGATGCAAGGAAAAGGCTCTAGAGGTGGGACCACGAACTGGCTACAGGGATAGACAAGCAAACAGACCAGGCAGGAAGCCAGGAAGACAAGGGGGGGAGGGGGCCACTCTAAGCCTGTTTCCTACCCCTCAGCCTGACATGGGTTTTCAGTATTTTATGTGAGGGCAGGAACAAAGAGTAGCATGCCCCCGCCAAGGCCATGTGCTACTTGTGAGCATGTGTGTGGAAGGCGACAGACGGGCCTAGATTTTCCAGCAGCAATTATTTACTCATGATTAAACGTAAGAGGTGGGTGTAGAATCCACTCAGAGTTTGAGCTGTTATTTGTGATGTTTCACGTCTGATGATTTTCAGGTACCGCACGTTCTCCAACTGCCTGAAAATGTATGACCCGGTTGTTTGCACACCTGTGTGCACTTTTCCTGATGGAGTGAGTCAGTCCACTATGGCATTGCTTTCTCTCCATTCAGGTGGTGTAATCCTTAGCAACCTACCCATTTGTAGTAAACCTCCTCGGGACGCCTGGCTGGCTCCGTTGGAAGAGCGTGGGACTCTTGATCTTGATCTTGGGGTTGTGAGTTCGAGTCCCACGTTGGGGACAGAGATTACTTAAATAAATAAATATTTTAAAAAAGAGAGAGATGGTTTTCTGAGTCAGGCAAGCTATAGCAAAGTGAGAGACTTTTAAAATTAATTTTACATCTTCGGTGTAGCTTCCTATTTTCCCTCATTTTATTCATTGGCAAGCTTTTAATTTTCCATTAAGAGAGGAAGTTTAAAGTTTAGATACAGTGCTAGTTTGAAGTCACACAGTACTGTGTCAGAGAGAGGGAGACAGAGAGTGAGAGAAATTCAAATTGAAATACATCCCTTCCATGTCAGAGGACATGTTTGGAACAGGAAGTGCAGCGGGATTTGGCCAAATTTGCAAAATACCAGATGTTCCCACAGCTCATACATGATGTTAAAAATGTAAAATAAGTGTGTACTGCTCACGTGTAGTGTGCTGTTTTCAAATGTGTGCCCGGGTTTAAAGTGCCTGACAAGAACAGGAAGCTGCTCTTCAAGTCTGGGATTCAGACAGGAGGGTCCAGGAAGCCTGCACTTGGTACCCTTCCCCCGACAAAATAAACCAGAGAGGGCTGTTTGCCTTCAAGATCATTGTGATTCTGTTGCCATTTGCATTGGCAGAATTCACGGAACTTCTGAGGAAAATAGGCACAAAGTGGTTTTATGTCACATGGGCAGAGACTGAATTTTCATGACATTTGAGGTGATGAATATGCACAAGCTTCAGAGAACACAAATGCGTAAAGTTCATTTGCTCCAAATCTTATTGTTTGGTGTTTTGTTTTGTTTTTATTTGTGAAGTCTGACAAGAGTTGCTTTCCTTTTTGCTTTTCCAGTTGAGCAAGTAGAAACATTTTTTAGAAGGGACAGAGAGCAAGTTAGTGGGTTAGAAATCCAGGAAAATGATCAAAGAAGCTGCAGTTGGGGTCAAAACACTGTGGTTGGTTCAGCTGTGATGCAGTTAGATAAGGTGGAGCTTGGGCACAATCTCAGCCTCCATCTGACTCCCAGCCTTTTATATCCCCACACGCTGGAATGGCTGGGATTGCTGCATCCTTAAGTCAAGACGAAACCCTCCGCTCATGTACAGACTGCGCCCCAGGTAATCATAGAACTGGAACAGGCCTCTGGCCTCCTGCCCGGTGCTTCTCAACTTGAAATTAGATGGACACTTACCTCCCTCACCCCACGCTGGTTGCACTCTCTGCTTCCGCTCCCATCATTTGTTTCTGACCTCTGACCCTCACGCATCATACCTGTTGCGTGTCTGTGTGTGTGTGTGTGTGTGTGTGTGTGTGTGTGTGTGTGTGTAAACATGCATTTTTCTTCAAGCTCCTTATAGTTTCCACCTTTCGGTTCTGCTTTCTAGAGCTATGGAAACAGCATAAGGGAATCTCCTTTTCATAGGATGACTGTTCTTGAGATAAGCTCCTGTTTCTTCCCTTATCCTCTTATCCAGGCTATTTGATATAAACATCTGGAAGAGTACATTTGTCTTAAAAACTGTGATATGACCTAAAAATAAAATTTGTATCCTAGGGTTTGTCTCAGTGAAAGGCTGCATTGTTGCTGAAACTTCAGGGTCTTCCTGGTAATAATATTCTCTTTTCATGAAGGACAGCAGCACATTTGTCACCATAAAGAGCAGTCAGTGTCTCAATTCTGTGTAAACAGGCTTAGATAATGCCCAGTACCTAATTGTATGGCAGCTATAGGACTTTCTGATGCACAAATCAAAGGCATATTATGTGCATTCAGATCGAATGATTAAGTGTTTAGGCGTCAGCTGTGTGCCATATACAATATTAGTTGTTGACAACACTGAAATGTAAATACATTCCTAAGAAAGTTAATTTTTTTTCCTTTTTACAGTAAAATTATTATAATTGAGAATTACACTCTTCACAAAATTACAAATTCTTTGAGGCTCGGGATGGTGTCTTTTATCTACTTCTCCAGTTCCTAGCACAGTATGAAGTGGGAATTCCTTAAGTGTTGTTTAAACAGTTATTTGATAATCACAATTAGTGATATTAAAACTTTTTGATCTCCGAGTGCC